GAAAGGGCATTTCCTCGAGAGATCTCGAAGTCCAAGTCGATCACCAGCCAGAGGCCAGCGCTTCTCTTCTCCAAACAAAAGAGACCACAATACATCAAGTGAAGTGAAAAGCCCAATGAATGGTGATTTAATCAGAAAAGGATCAAGCCAGTAGGCCAACACTTGACCCCTGATGAAAGTGGCCTAGAAGATAATGTCGTAACTATAAGGAGAACTTTAGGAAAAAGCATCAAACTTAATGTCACCATAGGAGAGAAGCCTATAAATGCAGTTGTTGACACAGCTGCCATGATAACTCTTGTCAATGAAAAAATAATGCCAGACAGTCAAATAGCTACAGCCGAGCTCATAAGGCTAAAAGGGCTAGGTACCGAAATAGTGCATGGTAGATTGCTCAGGAATGTGCCTCTCAAAATTAGTGACCTTCATGTAACTTGGGACTGCTGTGCTGTATCAATGGATGATGACATGATCATAGGACTAGACTTTCTAGACTTTTCCCAGGCCAACCATGGGATCATCAACATTAAGAAGGGAGTGCTGTTTCTCGAGGACAGGAAATTTCCTATAAAGTTGATATCCGATCCACATGAAGGGCACCCAGGCTCTCGCGTCCGGATACGGAGAACAGTATGTGTACCACCTAACACTATAGCCCAAGTGCCGGTTCAACTAGATAAACCATTATCTGGTGACTATGTTGTTCCCCCTCACACCTAAAATCTAATGTTCTTGGGTCTCATACCCTTGGAAGTGGCTCTACAACAACTATGAGCTTCATAAATGACTCAAATACATCAGTCAAGATCAAAGAGGGGACTGTGGTTGGAGAAGCTGAGGCTTATGCTGAAATATGTCCAAATGACAGTAGTGCTCTTCTCATTAGAAAGAACCAGACATATGAACCTGATGATAAGTTTCCAGAATATCTTATGGATCTGTATGAAAGATCAACTCCAGGACTTAGCGACAGTGAGAAGCATCGTGTCAGACAGCTGATGATAGATTATCAGGACATATTCTCGAAGCATGATTTAGATTTGGGCTGTCTAACCTCGGTTACCCACAGAATAGACACGAAAGATAATCCACCAGTCAAACATAAAATGAGGAGAACGCCACTTGGTTTCCAGGACCAAGAAAAAGCACAACTGGACAGAATGCTAGACGCTGGTGTCATACAACCTTCCAACTCGAACTGGGCTTCGGCACCAGTGCTAGTGAGAAAAAAGGATGGGTCTATGAGGTGGTGTGTAGACTACCGGGCACTTTATGAAAAGACGGTAAAGGATTGCTATCCACTACCAATTATTGAGGACTGCTTAGACACTCTTCAAGGAACGGAATATTTTGCTACCCTTGATATGGCCTCTGGTTATTACCAAATAATGATAGATGAGGGGGATAGGCACAAGACTGCTTTCATTACTCGTTATGGTCTGTTCGAACACACCCGTATGGGGATGGGGCTATGCAATGCTCCAGCCACCTTCCAGAGGGCAATGCAACTAGTACTTCGGGGTTTAACATGGGCTCAGGTCTTGGTCTACCTTGATGATGTTGTAGTATTAGGTCGCAACTTTGAGGACAGTCTTCAAAATCTCAGGAAAGCCTTTGACAGATTTAGGCAATATAATTTGAAGCTAAAGCCTAGGAAGTGTGTCTTGTTTAAAAAGGAAGTAGAATTTCTGGGGAAAGTAGTTAGTAGTAGGGGCAGAAAGTAGTTAGTAGTAGGGGCATATCAATCTCACCATCAAAGACAGAAGCTGTTAGGAACTGGCCTACACCCAGTAATGCCACCGAGCTACTCTCTTTCTTGGGATATCTAAATTACCATAGGGATCACATCCAGCACTATGCTGCTATATGTGCAGTTCTGTATGACTTGGCAAATGTGAAGGAAAAATGACTTGGACCACTGTGCACCAGGAGGCATTTGAAAAGGCTAAGATGGCTTTATGTTCCGCACTTTGCTTGTCATACCCTGACCCTGAGGGACTCTTCATCTTGGACACAGATGCCTCTGATAAGACCATTGGTGCTGTTCTATCACAGGTGCAGGAAGGCAAGGAAAAAGTAATTTGTTATGCAAGCCATGTACTATTAAAGCCTCAACGCAAGTACTGCACAACTAGAAAAGAGCTATTGGCTGTAGTGAAGTTTTGCAGCCACTTCAGACATAACCTTCTGGGGCGACGGTTTCTCCTGCGCACAGATCATAACAGTCTTGTGTGGCTTATGCGATTTAAGCACATAGAGGGGAAGCTTGCTAGATAGCTCGAAGAACTGGCACAATACAACATGGAAATTGTCCATAGACCTGGCAGAAAGCATACAAATGCAGATGGAATGAGCCGCTTGCGGGACGATATTGCAGGAGCAAATGTTAAAGATCTTCCATGCGGAGGCTGCCATTATTGCCAGAGAGCACACATACAATGGGGACGATTCGTTGAGGATGTAGATGACGTTGTGCCTTTATCGAATCGACCATCTTTGTCTCCGGTGCTTAAGGTGAGGACAGTAATGCAACTAGATGACAAGCCTGGGCAAGGTTAATTCTTGTGTGTGCAACTGGGCAGTTGGAAGTTCGCCATCTGAAGTACGTAAATTGCAGGAAGAAGACCCAGAGTTATGTCCAATCATTAAGTGGCTAGAGAATAATATTCAGCCCAAACAGTCAGAGCTCCGTTTACAGAGCCCAGGTACTCGGACACTGTGGTTGAGTAGAAAGAATTTGCAGTTTATAGGCAGGGTTTTATATTACAATTGGGATGGTAAGGCAAACAGGAGTCTCTGCCTGCTCGTGCCACAAGGACTACGGCGTTCTGTATTACATGGTTGTCATGATTTAAAGTCATCTGGCCATTTAGGCCAACAGAAAACTCTTGAGCGTTTAAAGCAAAATTATATGTGGTATAAAATGTCCAGGGACTGCATAGATTATGTCGCCTCTTGTCAAACTTGCAATCAAAACAAAAAACCTAATGTGAGGCCAAAGGCTTCCTTAGGTCAGTATCACGCTGGTTTTCCCATGGAGCGTGTTCATTTGGATATCCTGGGACCATGAAATATATGGAGATAACGAACAGTATTCAAGCTCAAAAGTCCATTAATCAATACAAAATAGGAGCAGAGCAAACACGGACCTCCAAACATCAGAGGTGGGATCAGGTGCCATGGAGGAGTGAGCATCCCCTGCCGACTGGTCACACCCGCCGTGTGCTCCTTGTCATGATTGGGAAATAACGGAAAAATCCGTAGACAATTCAGTGTGTAAATAATGGCCTAACAATTAGTATGAAAAACGTCAGTCAGCATTTGACTCAATGATAAATTGTATTTGCTGACAAGGTCATTGTATCGACCATAGAACTTACGAAATGATGACTTTAAACGAGACATCTGATATTCTTGTTTCATCAACTTATTTGTCAATAATTTATCTCGTTTTAGAAAATGTACATACGTAGAGCATGCTCTTGCGTATCGAATCAACTGAGAGATATATACCCCGTATGCAGGTGATGAAGGTATATTGCTGCATAAGTAAGGGAAGTTGACGATTGAAAAGTTAAAGTCATCACGTTTATCATAAAGCTTGGTTGTTAGATTACCATTAACGTCTTTTTCAAGTAAAATATCCAAATATGAAACAGATGTTTCAGACCATTTCATACAAGCGAGGATGGTAATAACTATGTGCTGATGATGATTGATCAGTTTACCAAGTGGGTGGAGATGGCAGCTCTCCCTGACCAATGCGCACTTTCTGTAGCTCAGAAATTCTTGGTGCATTTTTGTTGTCACATTCGGATGTCCCTTAGAAGTACATACTGACCAAGGAAAGAACTTTGACAGCAATTTGTTTTAAGCCTTGTGTGAGATGCTACAGATAGCCAAAACACGAACTACTCCCTACCATCCCTCATCAAATGGGCAGATAGAGCGTTATAACACCACCGTTCTTCAGATGATAAGATGTTACATAGAGAAAAATAATAAAAACTGGGATAGAGATCTCCCTCTCCTAGCAATGGCCCTTCATTCCACTATACATCGCCAGACAGGTTATACTCCAAACCGCCTTATGCTTGGCCGAGAGGTTATTCAACCTATCCATTTGCTCACTGGAAATATCCCTGATGGTCTTAACTCCCAGGAGCCAAGTGATTGGTGCATTGATCTTTCCAATCGAATCTCCAAGGCTCATCATCATGCACGTCAAAATATACAAATGGCACAACTAAGTCAGAAAAGGGACTATGACCTTAGACTGTGAAAACCACTATAACCCTGGGGATATTGTGTACAAGTTGGATTCAACGACTAAAATTGGTCAATCATCAAAACTTAGACCTCCATGGACTGGGCCGTATCTGGTAGTCTCATGTGATGCTCCACTTTACACCCTCAGGGATCAGAAAAAAGAGCGTGTGCTGTACCATGATCGGTTGAAACTGTGCAAGGACCGAGATATCCCCATGTGGTTACGAAGGTTGCGTTATCAGTATTTCCAGGATAGTACATCTAGCATGATTTCTAAGGATCCAGATTTTAGTATGGTTCAGCAATCCAAGGGGCATGATCAAGACGAGGATCTTACTGAGCCAATAGAATGTCAGGACCACACTGGAACTTTAGATGATAACGAGCACCTTGTGCTACCCAAGGTTGCTGAACAGCCAAGACATGGAAGTAGTATCAATCCTGCATCCAAGTACAAAGACTTTGTGTAGACTGATTATTTTGTACATAGACCTATGTATATATACCTTTGTTTGTATTTTCTTTTCTCTGTTTTCTTTCAGGAACAGCCAGTGGTCCTTACATTCAGTTCAAAATATGTTTATTTGTATGAGCGATTATATTTGTAGACTGCTAGAATAATGGAAGAAAATCTGTGGGATGTTAATTTTGTCCCTGACTATGATACTTCATCTGGGAGCCAGTCAGAAGAATGGATAACCCTGGATGAGGTGATGTCTGACACCAGCATCTCAGGAGATACACAAGATGCGAACAGGGATCTGAAACAGATGATCGGTAATCTTAGATTGAGTTCCTGTAGGTATGGTAAAACTTTTGACTTCAACTCTTCTTAATGGATATTTGGCTCTGTGAGTATTCAAACTTTCATTGATCTGATTCATTAAAGTAGGGGAAGGTTTCACTTTTCTCACCCACAAGACCATACTTAATATTTCGACTTTTCCCGTATTGGCTTGAGCCGTCATCATGTAGAAATCAGGTCTAGCTCGATTAAATCTCAAACGGACGTCGACTCCATTGAGTAGAAATCTATCTTGTTGAAACAAATCCAGATGTAAACGATCCAACAAAGTAATTTTCTTACTAGCATCTATGGCTTGATGACGTTTTCTGTATCCTTCGTTTTTAGAATTGGCTGGGTATGCTGGAATGATGGGTTTGTTAATGGTCACAATATTAGAAACTGCAGCAAAGGTCTGATTAGCAGCCACCCCCAGATCTGCTAGCCCCCTTTCGTCCATGTGTCCTGCCGTATCTTTTTCCCATAGACTACAAGCTTTCATTTGTGTGGCTAAAGTTCTGGGTTTGTAAGACAGTAATTTCTCCAGATAAGCTTTGTAAGGATAAGTATCGGTCCCTGGAGTGATTATTTTTCCATTGAGATTGACATCAATTTCCGTAAATAAGGAATGTAAGATATTATTCACTGGGGCTGTTTTAGCAGGATCTCCAGCCAGATCACTTCCATCATTTTGGACAAATTGACATACCATTTGAAGATAAGTTTGAGATAAATCTAGATATTGATCTCCTTGTCCTTTAATTTCAAATTCAATCGGAGCTGTCTCTGAATCTAAAGTACTAGAAATAGGGTAATATTCTTCCCATTTGGAGTCTTCTAAAGCAATATTAGTGGGAGGGACTTGGAACAATTGTAAATTATCCATCCCACAGGCACAGGAATCGGGCTGTAACATGATGTCTGTCTACTAAGATTGATTTTTCACAAATGAAACTCTTCTCCCTCACACTCTTCTATTTATAGTCTCTCAGTCAAAGACATCTAAAGACCTTGTTTTCTTCTTGGGAATATTGTCTCCTTGATTTTTTCTTTTTCTTTTAGGACCTCCTCTAGCCAACAGAACTCTGTCTGTTTTCTTTTTTTCTTACTATCTCCTAGATTCATTCTTTGCTTCACCATTCCCGAAGTATTTTTCAGGGCTTGTACTCTGTGAGTTTTGATAGCGTCTTTTAAAGATCTCTTATTATCTAACACGTCTAACCCCGTTCTAGCAGCAGCGGTCAAGGCATGTTTAGCTCCCGTTTTCAGTAAATCCGTTAAAAATCCTTCCCCTCTTTGATAGATTTTTGGGGGGTGGATAATAATAAGCTGGTGGTGGTGGTGGGGGTGGTTGCTGTTGACCCCCTCCTAATATTCCACCTAATAGATTACTGACTACTGGAGCTGCTAATTTTAACACCGGAGCTAAAAGACCAAACCCGTGTCCTTTTTGTCGTAATAAACCTTTATGATAAGTCCAACCGTGTCCTCTCTGTCTTAATATTCCTGGATGATACTGCATGGTGATAACTGTTCTTAAAAATTGACTTTCCTGCACTCTGAGGACTTCCTTTTATACCCCTTTAGGGCTGAATACAATATAGACAGCATACCAGACAAGCCATGACTCCCAATAGGATGTAACACAATAATTGTACACTCATCTCAGTACACTTTTCTAAAATGAAGTTTGACTAGAGTTTTTCCACTTAAAAAAGGCATGGGTTTTCCCAAAGGTGTCATGATGTGTATCTCAATGGTATCAAAATGTTTTTTTACTCAAAGGGAGATATTCCGCACGTATGGGTTCCCATTTACATTGATTGTCTTTCTGTTCAAATTGACAAGGGACCACTCTTAATAATTTCAAGGCATTCGATCCTACGGTCTGGGGTTGAATCAGATCACAATACACATACATGGATTTTAAATTTCGATATAAATCTACAGTCTCTGGAGCCAGATAACTGATGTTAATCCATTTGGTCATGTCTTCTGTCCAATTTCCGGGACTAATTTAGAACCATAAAATCCTAATTTATAAGCCAGACTTAAGGGAAGACGTACAAAGATGGGAATTTGACGTAAATGAGTGACATAATTCACTCGATCGAAATCCTCCCGATAATTAAATTTCATCTCAATTTTTGAGGGTTTTTCTTCTTCTTCTTTCAGGTCTTGTATCACTGTCTTTAAGCTCTGTTTTAAATGTCCATACACCTCATCCTGATCACTGTCCACCACCATCACACTTCCTTGATCTATGGGTTTCTTTTTCTCGGTCCATTTGTGATACTTTTTCCAGATTTTTTTCATGGTCTGTACTAAACCTTCATTGATTTCTGCCAGGATAGCTGTAGGGTTGGGATAAGGTCCCGGTCTAAATCGAAGTCGATACAAATTCAATTTCTCTTTAGGATCATAAGTACCGCTTAACCAATAAGCTTTACTCCAATCTACTAAAAGCTGGGTTTGTTGAAAAGTGATGGGAGTACTTTTCAATAATTCAAACCGTCCCCACTGGTACTTATCGGGGTCCTCGAGATCCAGTTTCTCTGATGGTGAAACGCCTTTAAAAAGGTGGAACTTTTTCCACTATACACACTTCGATATAAGATTCATCATGACTTATATTTTCTATACTACAAGGATAAATCATTTCGGTTAATGCTACTTCCCATTGACCATCCGTTAAATCCACAGATTGTGATAATAAAGTTTTAAATTGAGCGGTCGTATTCCTCGGAAAAGATTGCATGGAGCTATCACTGGGTAATGTCATGTAAAAACCACTGCTCTCAGCCATGTTCAGCTCTCAGCCATGTTCAGTAAGAGACTGAAAGATATTCACTTCTGACCCTTCAATTTATATCACCAAATTTGGTTTTTATTTTTTTAAATTGCCCATCAAATCAACATTAGGAAAAAAAAACTTTTTTTTAGGTTTTAGTCCCTTATACACAAACACTTGGTAGAGATTCAAGTATACTCATTGTGACGTCATGGTCACAAAAATGTCACATGGAAAAATAAGATCTGTGATTTATGTTTCTATAATTTTTATTCATAACAAGAACAAACAACAAACATCACAAACAACAAACATTCAAAACTATGTTACTGTTTGTGTATTTGTAGTCTTTTTAGGGGTATGATGTATCATCGTAGGACTAGGCATAATATAACCTACGGAAGAACTAACACAGACCATCCAATATTCTCGATTAGTATCATGTAAAGCTAACATGACCACACTGGTAATGATAAGAGATACACAAATGAATAATTGTGCAAAATAAACAATTTCTTCTCGAGGCACTTTTTCTCCAAAAAATTTCCAATGAGGAGTTATTGAATGAGATCCGTTTGGGGAATCCATGAATCGAAACTAGGAGGATATCCTTTCCACCGCACTTTGACTTCTTGAATGATTTTTTTCCCTACACGTCGCTTTTTATACCCCAAGATTTCTTCTACTTCGTACACATCATCTTTTTTAATAATCTGTTGTAATTCTTTTTCGTAAAAAGTGCCTTCTAATTCCTCACCATGATCATCTTGGATTTTATACACATAAGGATATCTTCCAGGCACTCTTTTAGAAATGGTAAACAGTTCTGTAGTCCAGTTAGGTAAATATCCTTTTTCAAAAGTGCGTTTGGCTTTACTAATGCGGACCCGATCTCCTTGTTTAAATTGTGTTTTTTTTTAGGAAACTTGTTTCCGATTTGATTTCCCATATAAAGTTTTCCAGACTTTCAATACATTAGAAGCATTCACTTGAGCTGGTGCTCTTTTGATACTCCGATGATAAGAATGATTGTAAGCATATACTAAATCCCGTAAGACGTCTAAATACCGTCTGGTTTTATGACGAGTGAAATAACGCCACATGCGTGCTTTGAGGGTTCTCTGAAATCGTTCCACGATACTGGCTTTAGTGTCCGTATTACGAGTGGTAAAAAAATGAATGGATTTAAAAGTGTGTAAGAATTCTTTATTGGTAAATTCTTTGCCTTGATCGGATTGAATGCGGATGGGACGTCGTCCGTCTTGTTGAAAAATCTCTTCTAATCCTCGAATCATTTCTTTTCCTGTTTTCTGTTTTAAAGGCACTACCCAAGCATATTTAGATAAGACGTCAATGGCACACAATAAAAAAGTATATCCGTCATTGTATTTCTTTAAACTGGACACATCTGCTAAATCTAATTGCCATTGTTCATCTATGTCGGTCACTCTAGTTTGTTGTCTGTGGAATTTTCTTTGAATTGGTTTATGTAAAGTATAAGTATCTTGTTCTTTTAACCAGTCTCGAATCTTTTTCAAGGAAATTCCTAAAGGTTTGACCTGACGATACAAAGCTTGTATTCCTCCGTACCCTCTTTTAGGATCATAATAAATCTCTTTTAAAATATATCTTCCACTTGTTTCTTTTTCATTTGTTAGGTAAAGGAAGCCAATTTTCTTCGATTTTTGCTAATTTCTTTTCTTCTTCGAGTTTGGCTTTTAATTTCTGTCGAGCTCTAAAGGGACTATATTTGGATCCTACCCTTCTCCCTACAGGGGTTGAAATGGGTTTTTTTAATGACGGTTCCTGGATCTTCTATAGGACTACTCACTGGAGTGTCCAAAAATGAAGAAAATCCACTATCGTCTCTTTCGTCACTTTTAGGAGTACTGATTTTTCCAGGTTTCTGCATGGCTTTTATAAGGTTTCCATTACTCAGGTATTCCAGAGGAGTACGGGTCTCTTTTAAAGCTTGAGCAAATTCTTCTAATCCTGTAGGAACCGGATGATTTTTACGAGAATGAGATCTCATACTATCAGCCATTAAATCCACAATGTTAGAATCTGGAACTTTTTGACCTCGATAACTAATTTCACCTTCTTTATTCCAAGTTAACACTTTAGGGTTTTTCTTTAAATGATTTAATAATAATCCAGCTTTTCTTTTCATGTTTTTATTGACTGTTTCAAGGATTTCATCTTCAATCTCAGCTGGGGCTGCTGGTGATCCTGTTGCTTCTGCAGGGGATGGGGGTACTGGAACTGCTCCTGCTGCTGGTGGTGCTGCTGCTGCTGGAGCTCCTGCTCCTGGAGCTGCTGCTGGTGCTGCTGCTGCTGGTTGAGCTGATGGTTGAGCTAATCGAGTTTTTGTAGGTTGTTGTCTAGCTTGTTGTAAATAATTTCTATAGCGATGAAGTTCTTGACCATATAAAGCGACTTTTTCTTCTGGGGTTAAATCTTCACGTCTTGTCATCTCATCTAATTCCTGACCTAAACTGATAGTAGATTGAAATTCTGGAGGTTTCGGTAATTTTCCTTTAAGTTCATTCAATAAGACTTCAGAAACTAACTCATTTTCCTAGGAGGGCTGCTGCTCCCATAAGTAAAGGAGCGAGTAAAAGAGGGAAGAGGCCTCCTTTTTGCTGGACTAACAAAGCTCGTCGTTTCTGAATGGATTGAGGTTGAACTAGTCTCCTTAAGATGTGTTTCTTTGGAGCTAGTTTTCGTTTCTGAACCGAACTGAGAGGTAACACTCCTTTTAATAGGTTGTACACGATCTCACAAATTTTCAGAATACAATCTCCAGAACAATGTTTTAAAATACTTGTCTTTAAGGGTGAAGAATAATGAGGATTAAATAACACTCTTAAAAGAGGCCCATGAGATTTTAATCTTGTAGAACAACAAGTGTTCTTCTTCTTCTTCTTAGCCATCCTTTTCAAACAATGAAGAAGTGTCCCTCAGTGTGTCCTCCTTTTATACTCTTTAAGGAGGAGGAGCATACATGCCATGTTTGTCTTTCTCATGTTTATCTCTATTTTTTTCGGTGACATAGATTTTGGAACAATATCGACATTTATATCTCATTCCTTTTGGAAGTTGAGATGTAGAAGCAGACAAAGGTT